TTTGAAGGTGGGAGGGTCCCTTTAATCCGCGCCGGGACGGGGTTTGAACACCCCCCCCCCCCCACCTGCGGTTTTTCGCAGATATGTCAAAAACGGCGGCGTGGCACACCTGTTAGTGCATCTTTTCCGCACATGTTGTGAAAATGTCAGACCCAGGTCGCTTAAGGTCAGGTTACCAGGTCACGCCAAGTGACCTCACCTCAGATAAAAAAAATTAGAATGCTCGTCATAGCTACACCGACTGAACGATTACCTTGAAACTTCCAGCGATTGATAAGAGTAACAGTGTCTATAAAACGTAGGTATACCTCGGAATTTCGATATGGGTGACCTAAGGTGAGGTCAATTTTGCGGCCTCGCCATTATAAGTCAATGGGAGAAAATTGAAAAGCATCTGTTTTGCACGAACGCCATTCTAGACACTCTCAAACATCGGGATGCAGGTAAAATTGACACACTGAACCGGAAAATGGCCCCTGTGACCCCTCGTTAAGTCCCCGAGGTCATTCATCTCAGGTCACGAATAGGGGAAGATGGGGGAACACCGCCATTTGGGGAGCACCGCCCACCCCGATATCAGAAATACATATAAAAAGGTCTAGGGCGACAGATGACTGTCTTCTGGTAGCGTGACGACAAGTGACAACAGAAGTGCAGGTATGGGCAGTGCACCACATTGGTTTAGGGGATTTGCGAGTAATTCCTTACCTAATTTTATGTTTCGTAAATACGTTTTATACTTTTCTAGCATAATAAGCAGAAGAAAACTGATCTTTTCACAGACATTAGTCCTGAAGTCTGAAGTAGTATTTTTTTTGCCATAATTAGGACTCATCCAAGCATTACGTGCTACTGCTCGAGCGAAATTTTTGTCGTGCTGCCATATTGAAGGATTTTTAGAAAAATGCAGACACTTGGGTAACACCGCCCACTTGGGAAATTAGGAAAACTTGGGAAATTAGGGGGGGTGTTCAGACACCCCCCTCCCGGCCCGGCGCGGAAGTCTTGGAGCACCCTGTAAGAATTTTGGGAGCACCGGCCCGGCGCGGGTTAATGTTGAAATTATGGGATTATTGGTAGGACTCGGGCCCTACCAAGCCGGTACAAAACGACACCCATGGGCCATGATACTACTGAGATTTCAAGAGGCCTGTTGCATCGGTTTTCCCCGACACGTGCATCCGATGCATTCGTCGTCATCAAAGCCGATGCAAAGTCTAGAAACGGCTGGGACTGAAGGCTACCTATCACTCAAACACTCACTCCGCAACGATCACTCATAGTTCATACAAATTACAAAAGTCTACATCTCTGCACACGTACCGAAACGCTTATACATACATACAATGCATATGTGTAGGTGCATGGCTGCGCCAAAAACAAAACAGATAATAAAAGATAGAATTCAATTATGCTAATTTTTGAACGACTTAGGCTGAGCTTCATAGATAATAAGATAACATTTAGTATTATACGACATGACGGAAAATTTAGTAGCAGTGTTCAAAAACAATCGGCGCGCTTGGGACAATCCTGCCGCAATGTAAACATAGCCATACATAGCACAGCACCCCCTTGGCACAGCGCTCACTGCGGCAGTATCCAAGGGCAGTATCAGTCGATTATCTAAAAACACGCCTCTTGAAATTGTTCATTGTTTTCAATAGCTTATCTTAGATTCTCTCGTAAAATAACAATTTCTAACAAACGTTCGGTTCAGTATGATAAGCTGATCAAAACTGTTGTGTGATAGGGTTACATTGGGCATTGGCATGAAGTATAAGGAATTTTATCTGAAGATCAATCATCAAGACTGAGATGGAACACAAAAACTCTAAACTGATCTCAAGCAAGATATTTTCCAGTAACGTGCATTCCCTTGTATATGCTATCAACCACCATGAAGCAAAGTGTGTTCTGCCCCGAAAATATGAAAGAAGTATTGAGGAAAGCCTAGTGCATATTTTGATATGCCTGTGCAATCTTCATAAGGGAAAATTAACACACCTGAAGCCATTAACATCACATTTGCATGTAATAATCCTCAAAACACAAACATATTTTGCTCAGGAAACTGGTCAAGAAGTCATCGAAGTGTCAGGTAAAGTACCTATGTGTGCAAAGTGGGGTTAAAAATTCCCCGAACTTAATGAGTTGAAATAATGAAAACTCCCTAATACCAGTTTGTTACCTGTCATGTACGAGGCCCATTATCCAAAATGAGCATATGTACAGGTAACTTCTTTGTGGAATTCTTAGGGGGGATTAGAGATAAAATTGGTGTGGAAATGCATACAGAATGAATCTCGATCTAACAAGTGTGTCAAATGTGGCCCTAAGTTACCTCAGCTTCAGCTGAAATGAGGGAGGAGGGGAGCATTTGGTGACTATAAGGAATTACTTTTTCCACAACCTACGTCACCCCACACATTCAAACAATCAGAGCGGTTGCAGATATAGCAGTTGTAGTTATGGTGGGAACCTAACGAACATGGTGATCAAGTGAGGCAAGGATCACAATGCCCAAATATGCTAACTTGAGCACTTTAATACCACAAAAAAGTTCTCAGTTTCTCACATGTCAACAATACAGCTTGAGCACTGCAGGAGCTACTAATCAAGATAGCTACCTACTAAAAATGCTGAGAAATAGTTGACCTTTAGGCAACCTCCAACCATGAACCAGTTCTTTTCATTGAGCACAAATACCTGCCATTGTTCATTTTTGTCGCAGTAAATGCCTCTTCGATCTTGACAATCACTGGAAGCATGCACCCAATCTCCAACCAATGCATGGTTTAACGCCTCTTCTTTAACTATTGTTTTGCAGACTCGGCGGAGTCGCTGGACGACCTGCTGCGGCGGCTGGAGGAGGTTTTTGACGCGCTGGTTGTCGCCCTGGGACCGGAGGCCGGGATGACGCCGGCGCAGATTCTCCAGGCCCAGCTGGACATGCACGAGCTGATAGCGACCATCGAAGGGATCGAGCACCGCGACATTGAGGCGCAGACGGGCGCAGAGCGCATCGTCCGAGACGTCATGAAGCTGCTCGGCGACTTCGGCATCGATCCGCAGTTTCCCAGTACGTGACAGGGCGTCGACCGTCGACAGCGCGCAACAATTATTAGCCGTAGCCCGTAACGTTTTTACTTTCATGTTTGAGTCATTTTTACTGTTTATTAAAGGAAATAGTTCACTTTCACGAATTTTTTTTTGCATCGATTTATTATTTTTTATGTTCAAAATAATCAGCAAAGAAAATAAAACCTTTTTATAACAAAATATTTTTTTTCTATATTTTGATATAGGAAGAACTTTTCAGTTTATGTAAGGCACACGCGATCCAGTATGAAAAGAGCATGGGTCCCGAAAATTCTTCAGAAACAGAGAAATTATCGCAGCCACCGGCATTTGGGCGATCTGCTCGATCTGATAATGTTCCCCTGAATGTCCTAATTGATCAGTACGAGAATTTCTCTAGAGTTCTCGTAGATAATTTCTCTAGTTTCTGAAGAATTTTCGGGACCCATGCTCTTTTCATACTGGATGGAAATATATGCAAGGCACACATCCTCAACGCAAGACACCTTTTTCGGGACGAGAAATAGAATATCTTTGCCTAGGGTGATCGTTGGGCTGTAAAAGCTCCTGATTTATGCTCGTCTCAGCCCAAGCTACGGAACTGCTATTCCAGTTCAAAACCCATGTTAAAAAGTGAACTATTTCCTTTAAAATGCATACTTATAAATATTTATGGTACAGTCTTTTATTTTATCGATCAAGTAATTGGGTTTGGTGGCAGTGGAATAACTTTTACTAAGTGAAAGGACCTAGGTACTTAATAAAATAAGTTTGGTGGTGGAAGGACCCATTTAAAACCTCCAGTTTCTTCCCCAACATTTGGATGCCTCCATCCCGTGTCCGTGTGACACATGGCCGCCCTGTCTGCAGCGTCTGAGACGCCGACGGCGCTGGACGCGGCGCTGGAGGCCCTGCTCGCCACCCTGGACGGCGCGCTGGAGGTGTACGGACCGCAATACGGCCTCGACCCGTACACGGTGGCGCGCCTGGAGGACGACCTGGCCACCATACAGCAGCACATCGAGGACATCGAGCACGGCCGCGTGTCCGTCACCGACGGCCTGGTGGCCATCGTGGACGACGTGTTCAACCTGCTCCGCGACATCGGCGTGCCGGTCCTGCCCGCCGGTGAGACGTACAGAATTGCGTATAACCGAGACATGTATTGCTTATGACCGAGACATGTATATACGCGACCTATTAGCAGCAGGAGAGGCGAACGGAGCCCGCTGTGTTGAGGACACTCTGCTTCCTGTGTGCATCCTTTCGGGCAGACTAAAAAAAAGGTTAAATCATATTGCCAATTTCCGCTAATAGCAAACTCAGACTTTGGGCAACCCTAAGCTACTACACTGTTGTGAGTGTGCAAAATACGCAAACAATATTTTTTTCCGCAACCTCAGTTCGTGTTTGAAATTCCATTCATCACTCTCATGAAATATGCAAGTTTCTTGCACACCATGTTATGTTGTGCTCATTGGAACGCGAGGACCGCATCTTCATTAAAGTCCTTAGAACGAAACTTTTTTTTTTCAAATTGACTGGCTTCAAATGCCGCGTTTCGTCTTTGCAGAATCGGCTATGGGTCTGGGCGAGAAGGCGGCGTATCTGAGGCGGCAGCTAGAGACGGTGCTGGGGGTGTCTCACAGCCGCCGACCGGCGCTGCCAGAGCCATCCTACGGCCAGATCCGCAAACTCGAGTCGGACCTGCTGGCGCTCGGCGAAAGCCGCGGCGACACGACTCTTTTCCAAATCGTTTACGACCTGAACATGGTGGCCAGGCAGTTCGTTAACCTGCTCTGAGCTCTAATCTGCAGTGACGGAGTTTTGCTGTGTGTGACCTTGTGATATAAATTGGGCTGTGTCTTGGTTTGGGAACTTATCATGTTTGTTATATGAAGGGCGAAAACTCCAAAGGGTAGCATTATGAAAGCAATCGTGTGACATTTATTATGTAAGCAGCGAATCACGTAACAATGAGCAATGTGGCTCCGATCAAGGTGAATGACGAATGCCGTTGGGTCGCCGCTGCCGAGGTCTGTCTTCGTGTCTGAGCGGGATCGGTGCGCGGCCGCCCGCTCTGTTGACTGGTGCCTCGTGCAGGACGGAACCCTCCGACGGATGTCGCGGCGGCGCTTCACCTCACGCAACGGTCGGCAGAGACCCAAATGCCCGCCTAGGTGGCGCCCGGAAACCGCAGCTTCTCGTAGCAAGAGTCGGTGACGGGCAAATGCATCCAGATTTCGTTGGGATTGTTCATCACTGCCAGCGGCACCTGTCGGGGCACGAATGGCCTCACCTATCTGTCCCCTGGGAACATGCGCTCGGCAGGACCGCTCTTACAGGCTCAATGCGAACCCCGCGACCCGCACCGTCCAAAGGTTTGGAGGGCAAGATGATGCGGAAGCCGGATGATGGAAGAAGTCAAATCAGGAGAGCATCAATGTATCAGCATGGTCAAAAATCACGCTACGTCATGTGAGTGCGATGGTTCTTGTTCCTTGTAACTACATCAAAGATGCTAAAATTGTATGTAGCGTACGCTCTTCTAAATATGGTTTTCGTGAGTGATCGGTCATCCCAATACATTGTATTATTCAATAAAGATTTGGGGTTATTCGGCTGTCTTACTTAATTTCGCCACACAACGCTTAGATTGGAAACAGGAACCAGCGTTCGATTAATAGAGAAATCCTTAAATCACGGTTTAGCAATGAGAGTTGGAATATCTGACGAGCTGGAACAAAGCGAACGAAATTTCCATTACGATCATTAGACCACATCGGCTGATCAGTTCTCTATCACCACAAGTACGGTGAATCAGGTCGATGCCTTTATGGAGATCAATTGGTACGATGCTAATTGCGAGGGAGCGGTGGGAATCATTGGAAAGGGTAACGAATCTTCTGGAGCCATTGACAAGGAAAAGAATTACACAGTACAAAGAAAAGGTAGCTTTACACAATGACAACCCCCATCGCCACACATACAGCATAATGTGATGTGAATAATACTTTACCACATTTACGTTGGAAAATTATCAGCAAGATAAAATGCTGGCGAGACGTTGACAATGAAAATTCATAAAACAATAATGATACTCCTATTGTTCGCCCGTCCCTGCGACTGACCTTGAGGTCGCTGGCCAGACTCTGGCGGCTGGTGTACTCCCGGAGCATGTAGGCCTGGTCGGCCTCGTGGTACAGTCGCGTGTCGTTGACGCGCACGAGCACACCGTCCACGCGCAGGTAGAACCGCAGCAGCAGGAAGAAACTGCGCGGCATCACTCGCTGTCGGGGCGCGCCAGACGTCAGTCGGGTGACGGGGTGTGAGAGCGTAGGTGGCGGTGGGGATCGACAGATTAAAGTCTACTGAGGTCCGGCAGCCGATATCGACGTACGGGACGGCCAGCTGGTGGCCTTCACTTCACACTCACCACCACTATCACTACACAGTCATGACACCCATAAGTGGGCCATTTGCCTATGGTGACTTTTATACTAATAAAGAATAAAGAATACATGTAATAAGATTATCTAATTGTGAAAATCGAGTTCATGTCAAGTTATACTCAGCAAGCATATGTGATTTTTTTTTTTGCGGATGACAATCGTCTGCAAGGACCCTATAAGAGTTCAATCGAATAAGAGGCCTAGTCCTCCCCGTGGCCTAGTGGATAAGGCGTCCGTCTCCTAACTCGGTGGCAGCGAGTTCGCGGCCGGAAAGCTCCATGTCGTTTGACCCGCGTTCCTATATTAAGCCAGCTGACAACTGGCGACAGAGGGCCACGCTATGTAGACCCGGGAGGACCGTGCCGCCATCTACCTGCGGCAAGTTAAACTTTCAATCCAAATTATCACCGGTGAACCGGGCGCGGGCAAGGCCGTGGTGTCATTCGCAACAAGCCCTGCTTAGCGGGGCACCCGGGCCCATAGCCATCCATTCATCCATTCGGACAAAATTTCTAAAAAAAAAAAAAGTCAAAATCGATCAGCAATTCAAACTTCTTAGGTCAGTGGCATTTAGGGCGATATACAAACTAGCATGATTCGAAGTGAATCAACGGGAAGACGAATCCTGGCACCCGTTCACCTCAAACTATCTTACCACTTTGACATTGCATATGGCGCAGCCGTGATCGGCCAGCTCGTCCTCGAAGAGCAGGATGTCCTCGTAGAACATGATCTTCTCCTTTTGCTTCAGCTTCTCCATGTCGATGCGGTCGTCGGTCGGCTGCGGCGCCAGCTTCTGGTGGCCGAGCAGCGTGCCGCGGTAGTCGGTGGTGAACGTCCAGTCGAACGGACGAGACACCGAGTTGATGTGCGGCACGTCACCGCTGCCGACACCACACAGAGGCCGTGAGTAGGTGCATAACGGAAACGACACAGTGGACGGCTACGTATGCGTGCGGCCGTTAAATCGGTCGGTGTTTAAAAATGAAACGCCTTGAGTATGAAAGCCACGTAAAATAACAAAAAGACATCAAACAGGCACGCTATTGTATGGCACAGACAACGCTTAAGTTGTCGGTTCAATGACAATGTCACATCGATATCATGCATACCGTGAACTCTTCCACTCATTTGCGCAGGCCACCTTGATGAGGTCCTCGTGGTCGTTAACCCGTTTGAGCGCGTCCAGAGCGTTGAACTCGAGACCGTAGCCGGCTGTGTGCTGTATCCGCAGCGTGTTCTCTGGGAAACACATCTCCGGCAGGCCAGGCAGCGACAACTGCCGGCCGTACCTGACCAAAGACCGCAATGTCACTCAGCAGTGAGATTGACAAAAGCAGTAATGGTCATACCTGACCGTAGTAATGGTACGTCCTGACCGAAGACAGTGATGTCACAAGGCGGTGAGCCGTGATTGACGAAAGCAGTAATGATATTACGGGGAACGACATTAACGATGACCGTCTTACAAGTCACTCATGCCAAAATCCTGCTGTTAACTCATGTGAAATGAATAATAAAAGCACAGTATCTCACAAAGCATCCCCAGGGTGAACCAATGAACCATCCACTCAGTAACTATTCAGTAATTACTAACCTGCAAACTGAGCAGAGGGAGTGGCTCGTGCCGCCTTCAATCGCCTCGCACACCTCTGGCTGACGACATGTGGACTCCAGGATGTGCGACTTGGAAACAGTCAGCGTCCATGGGCCAAAGTCGAATGTTTGCACTTGAGGCTGGGACGGCCGGGCCGCCGGACTGCCTCGTACAGAGCTCATACTCTGACCTCAGGCCAGTCTCTGCGCCCTGTGGTAAGATAAAATGTTTTGTCACCACTAGTTGCGAGTCCATTAGAGCTTTAGAGTCTGAGCATCCACAGTGTTAGCAAGAATGGCATTATTAGTATCCAACCAAAAAAAAAAGAAGCAGAAAGATTAAACTGCAAAATAAAGGATGAAAAGTACATACCCAACAAATGCCAAAGCATATATTCTTTGCCGCGTTTTGGTCACACCTCAGTTTTTTTTTTTTTTGCAAGTATAAAGAAAAGCGTGGCGCGAAGTGCAGCATAACTTGATACAGTCCATGCCCTATTAATTATGGTACATCAATTTCGCATTGTGTGTAAAAATTTGACCCCAGGTCACAGAAGGCCAGGTCACCAAGTCAATTCAGCAACTTCTACAGCATACATCCCAGAAGTATGAAACTCAAGCCACAGATAACAGTAGTACTACTGTTATCTGTGCTCAAGCTAATGCATGAGAGAAACAGTACCAACAATTTGAATATCTCAGAATTATGATATCAGTGACCCAAGGTCAGGCCAATTTTGCGACCTCCCCATTATAACTCAATGGGAAAAATTGAAATACTGTTCTTTTGTTTGAAAACACCTTCAAACATTGGGAGTGGGACACAGGTGAACATGACACATTGAACCAGAAAATTGCACCTGTGGGCCGTTTTATGCCCCCATGAGGTTATCTCAGATCATGAAAAATCTCCAACAGTTTTTTTTACAATAACTTTATATAGAAACATGCTAGAATACCTAGAGAAAACACCATGAATGTTTTCAGTTCAACAACACAAATCAAATGAAATGCAACATGACCTTTTCTGTGACCTTGAACTGAGGTCAAATTTTTAAGAAGATCTTTTCAGGTTAACTTAGGGTTCAGTCAACTCAACTCAACAAGAAAAACATGATGTTGGCAAAATCAGCATAACACGAGCTTGGAGTCAAAAGTTATCACACAAATACTTCTTTTGCAAACACATCAAGTTTTGTAAGTTGTTGCCCTCTGGGGGCTAAACCATTGACCTTAGGTTAAATCAGAAAACAATTATCACTCTCAGAGACCTTTCGAAGAGCTATCAAGTGCACTTTCCTCAGTGCTGTAGCTCCATTGGTGCCTGATTACCATTACCAGACTGGGACACCAATTTATGAAGTTTTTTTTTTAATTTAGTTGAAACATTTTGAATGGAAGGATTCACAAGGACAGAGCCCCCCCCCCCCAAGGCAAAGGTTGTTGCGTTGACCCTGCCCTCTACCCTCCAATCACACAATCCTGGCTCTATGGCAGCATTTGGAGTACCGTAAACCGGGGTGACTTTGTATCACTTTTGATCAGTATGGTACAATATCTCCTATATCACTTGAGATTTCACTCTGGAAACTGTTTCATCATACCAATTGGACAATTCTCTATCTAACTGAGTACAATAAATGTCTTGAAATTTATCATAAATATTTTATTTTTTAACAAAAAAAAAAATTGATCATTCTCACCCAGAGGTCGGGGTGACTATGATCACTACATTAAAATCACCTTATATGTGCCATAGGAGCCCTCAGAAGGGGTTTGTGTGATAAACTTACATGTTTTAAATAAAAGCAAAGGCTTTGCTTGACATAAACTCAAACATTTTACAGCAAAACTATGAATCATTGAGGTATTAAAATAAAGTTGCATGCTCTGGGTCTAAACTCACATTACTGAGCTATAAGTAGCAAAATTGGCTACTTTAACCTCTGACTTCAAGATTAAGTAGCAGTCACAGATGTCCTAAGCCACAGGCTACCTGTTCTACATCACACTTTGTCTGCTGGTGGCTGTGGGACTGCTTGCCACACTGCTCATGCCCCTCCCAGTTGATTGTCTTTTTCACTTCCCATTGACGCTCCAATTACCACTGAGTAGAGCAGCTCAATGCTCATCCTCCATCATCAGTATCGAAGCCTTTCCTTTATCTTTCTTTATCTGGTTCTTTCTCATCTTTACCATTATTATTGCTGGAGATGCTAGCGAATTTATACTTCATGCCAATGACAACAAAAAACAAGCTGTGACATCAACATGATTATTCTAACTGGGACCCAAAGTGTCTGCTATAATGCTTCATTGCTTTATTTAATCATTGGCATAGCAAATACAGTTCACAGCAGCTAAATGCTCATTTGAGGCCCGAAATTGGTCTATGATCAAAGTCACCCCGGGTATCACTGTCAGCGCGGTTTATGGTATGCAAAAGGGGTAAATGTCAAGTTTAAGTCCTAAGAAGATTTCATTGATAAATTTTTCATATTTTTACATTATTTGACATCCTGAATCCAAAAATGATGCTCATATGTCTCGCAAATAAAAGAAAAAAACATAATCAAACCTGACCTAACCTTACCTACTTTTTTTTTTTTTCTATGCCGCCACCCATTATCAGGTGACCAGGAGTGCCCCCTCCCTCTATCCCAGCGACACACAGAACCTTACGTTAACACCATAATAACTTAAAATTGCAAGTCGCGGCACTCCCTGCTAGGAAATGAAATGTAACATAAAAAAGCAGAAGGGAGAAAGCCATACGAATTAGGGGAACAAAAAAGAAGCAAAGTAGTCAACACTGCAATCAGTGGTGACTGCCCACTACTGAAAGCCCCCAATTTATCAGCACACTCACACATCCATCACACTCACAACACCCACACACGCCGGGGAAAGTGTCAAAGTCCACTGGGGCAGGTTAGTTAGAGGGGGATCCACAGTCATAGCCAAGTCATCATCAAACTCTGGTCAAATTCAGCGCATGTCAGCAGCAAGGTAGCCCGGGCTCCCAGAGCACCCAACGAAGCGAGGCTTGTTGCCGGGCACTCCAAGGTCCCAGGCCGCCAAACAGATGGGGTGGCATATTACAGTATCATGCACACATCACACTTACACACTCATTTACACAAATAAATGATATCATGCAACCCAGCCAATGTAGGTATGCGCCCTAGTTTAGGCACATATTCTTACACACTTGTGTGTACTCAATTCAAACATGATAAAATGCCATGATGCACACACTTGTGTGTACTTCTGTCACACTTGTCAATTGTCACAATGTACACTGCACGGGGCGTACCTAATCAATGTAGGTACGCACCTAAGATCATAAACATTGACACCTACGTACAAATACATGCACATGCAATTATACATATACATACTACATACATTATAGACACTTGTATACGTATCTAGGCAAATATACATATTCATTACCATAGGCATGGTAGCGTAGGTATAGGATTAGAAGTCAAAAACATCTGTGAGTAATGCGTTTATCAATACTCAGTATTTATTAATTAAACGCTCTTTTACAATTCTTTTCAATGTATGTTTGGAAGGAGGTACATGTTGAATTTGAGGAAACAGGGGGGTTATAATTTCATTCCAAACTCTAGGTCCAGTCCATGCTATTGTTTGCGTTTTATACTTTTTGTAAGTAAATATTTCTTCAAAATGTCTAGCAGAGCGATTGCTTCTGCCGATGGGATGAAATCTGAACATCCGATCTATTCCATCTGGTAGATTATTGCATATTTTTCTATGCAAGATGAGTAGCATTTGCTGATTTCCAATGTCTTTTATCTTGAGAAGCTTAAGTTTTTTGAATATTGGATCAGCATGTGCCATCTTCGGCTGACCATCTATAACTCTTATAACACGTTTTTGGAGTTTTTCAATTTTTGACAAGCTTGATGAGTATGTATTACTATAAATAAAGCAACAGTAATTGACATACGATAAGAACAAAGCATTGTAAAGCAGTAACAAATGGTCACTGCTTAGAAAATATTTTACTTTGGTAATCATACCAACATTTCTACACAGCACGGTACATAGCTTGTTAATGTGTGTGTTCCACTTCATATCTTCATCAATAAACATTCCAAGGTATTTAACAGTTCCAGTCCTTTGAATTTCGACACCTCCTAGTTTCAGCATTACATCCTGTCTGTTTTTCTTGTTTGAATATATTTGGTACAAGGTTTTATCTGTGTTAACTGATAGCTGGTTTGCAGAAAACCATTCGGATATCTTGGGCATAATGGCATCGATGGAACTTTGTAAATCTGCTTCATTTTCACACTCCATGAAGACTGCTGTATCATCTGCATACAAATATGCAGTAAAATCCTTGCTAATGTTCGGAAAGTCGTTTATATATAAAATAAACAGGAGCGGTCCCAGGATAGATCCTTGCGGGACTCCCATATCTATTGATACTGTTTTAGATCTTGTTTGGTCTATTTGAACACATTGAGCTCGCTCGTTCAAATACGATGATATCATATCGTACGCCTTATCTTTTATTCCATAACACTTGATTTTATTTAATAAAATGTCTATGTTCACCGTGTCGAAGGCTTTTCGGATATCTAAATAAAGCCCACATGCAATGTGGTTTAGTTCAAGAGCACTTACAATCTTTTCTTGTAAGAGTGATATTGGCATGTACGTGCTCATACCTTTTCTAAATCCAAACTGGTGTGGATTAATAATACCATTTGTAACTAAATGATCGTTAAAACGAGTATGTAGAAGTTTTTCCAATAGTTTGGAAATCACCGGTAAAAGGGATATCGGTCTATAGTTATTAAAATGCTGATTATTGCCTGCTTTGAAAATTGGTTTAACAATAGCAAATTTTAGAAGTTTAGGAAAAGTACTTTCCTGCAGACAGAGGTTCATGAAGTGTACGATTTCTGGCATTATTGAGGCATAAGTTGCTCTAAATATTCTAGTATTTATCTTGTCATGGCCTCCACCGACCTTATTCATATTGTCTACGATGTTGGTAATTTCCTGTTCATTAGTGAGTGATAGGGAATCCAGGCTATTCCCTGTAAATACAGGTATATATTTTGTTGGATCTACATCATTTCGATGTATTTTATTTCTTAACTGCTTACCAACATTAGAAAAAAATGTGTTAAATCCATTAGCTATTTGTTGAGGCCATTCGACATTCGCATCTGCGGTATGGAAGGATTTTGGCAAAGCTGAGTGGCCAGATGAACCTTTCGTTATCTTTCTTAAGATATCCCACGTTTTCTTAGGGTTTGCATTTTTTAATTCGTTTTTGATGTACATTTTCTTTGCTTCCCTTAGAATATTATTAAGGGCATTTCTGTAATTGTTATATGTGGATATGTTTTCTCGATTGGGATATTTGTTCTTTTGTAGAAACAATACATTTTTACGGTTTATTGATGCTAAAATACCTGGACTGATCCACGGTTTAATTGGTGTATTTTTCCTAGAGGGTCTATAGGTAATGCTATACCTATCTATTCCTGTTGTGTATGCTTGTAGTAAAGTTTCACAGGCGATGTTCGGGTCTGTT